GGCTATGCAAAAGCATTGGGAATTTGGATGAAATGACCCCCAGCTTAGACATCCCGGTCCAGGATTTGCCCTGGAATATGTTCCATCTCCCAAAAAGCATCTGGTTTGTCTGTGTGACCCTCATCTGTTTAAACCACCAGGAGAAACAAACACTCCTGAAAGAGGAACCAGAAAGAGAAATAATTTAAAAAGAGAAAAAATAGAAAGAAACCAAAACCACCTTGTGTTTGCACCAGCAGGTTCTGCTGTCCAGCACTGCAGGAAACTTGTTTTTCCTCTTTTTACCCCAAAACAACTGGAATTGCATGGTCAGGGATGGCCTCACCTCCCTGCGATCTGTGGGCTGGGAAAACAGAGGTGTAAAATCATCAGTTTGGAAGAAAATTAGTAGAAAACCAGCTTCTCTTTCATAATTTTCACTTCCCAATTCCTGCCCCCCCCCCCCCCCCCCCCCCCCCCAATCTGGTATTTCAGTTGTCAGGGAGGAGAACAAACCTGATTTAAATCCTCCTTTGCTTAAAAAAACCCAACCCAACCCCAAATCCCTCCCATCTCATAAAGGGGTTTCGGCGTCACTTGGAAATTTTAAAATCAGCAGGATTTTGAGCTGGTTTGTTTTAGTAATTGATATGTTAATGTATTTGTAGCCCTCTTGGTGTGACAGTGCTGGAATTTGCCAGCCCCTGGAATTTGCTAGGCAGAAGGAAAACTGTGATCCCATGGGAACAAGTGTTACCTGCTAACAAAGATGGGATTGAAACCCTGGGGGTTCTGGGAGTTTTTGGGTCGCTCTGAGGGATTTTTGGGCTCATTTGTGCTTCCCTGGGAGGAGGCAACAAAACAAAATAGAGGAAAATGCCCTGTTTGGGGGAAAACCAAAGGAGGAGCTGCTGGATTGAGTGGGAAAGGGACTGGAAGAGCCCATTTCTCCTCCACTGCACTAGTCCCTGTCTTTGGGGGGGTTTTGGCAGCCAGGTTTGGTCTTCAGAAGCCATGTGGGGTCTTTCAAAGCTTCTTGGGATCTTGGAAAGCCTTTGGGGGGGTCTTTAAAATCTTCTCAGAGTCTTTGCAACCCTTCTGGGGTCTCCTAAAGCTTCCCAGTAACTTACGACTCTTTGGGATTCTTTGCCAGCCATGCAAGGTCTTTGTAGGCTTTTTAAGGTCTTTGCAAGGCTTTGGGGTCTCTTAAAGCTTCTTTGGGGTCTTTGGGAGCCTTTGTGGCTCTAAAGTGTTCTCAGAGTCTTTAGAGCTCTGCTGAGGTCTCCTAAAGCTTCCCCGGGACTTTACAACCCTTTTTCTTTGTGACCCGTTCAGGACCTTTCAAACGTTCTTTAGGATCTTTGCAAGGCTTTTGGGGGTCTCTCAAAGCTTCTTGGGATCCTTGCAAGCCTCTGGAGGTGTTCACGGAGCTGCTGGTGTTGGGAACAGGCACGAGGACCTGCCTGATCCGTCTCAGTGAAATCCTGGGTGACTCCATCCCTGGTTTGTTAAATCAGCCTCAGTTTGTGCTGCCAGAACGGGGGTTTTCAGGAGGCAAAAGTGCCTTTAGCGCTGCAGCTCCGCTCTGGGCTATCGGGTGGGAGATCAGCAGCCTGCCAGGACACAGAGATATCCATGGATATCCGCAGGGAGATGTCTGGAGGCTCGTGGTTCCCTGGCTGTGGTCAGGCTGGTCAGAGGAGTTCTCTGGGTCCGTCTCAAGATCAGATCAGCCAGATTAGGAGCTGCTCTGCATGAACTCCCTGCTGCTGTGGGAGCTCTGCCTGCCTTCCTTTCCAGCCCCTGGGAGCAGATCCCAGCTCTGGGGCTTGCAAACAGCCCCACGGAGCTGATTCCAGAGGGTTTTCCCTGAGGAGCACCCGGAGGTGGGTCCCTGGGGGGTTCACACCCAGGGGGGCTGGATCAGGGATTTTGGGGTCATTCTGTGGCTCCCTCGTGTAGGCACGAACCTTATTCCAGTGAGTAGGAGGGAAATGTTCCCCCATGGAGACCTTCCAAGCTGACCTTTCATGTTTAGGAGGTGCAAACAGGTGCCCATCCCGAGAGAGCCACGAGGCGCTGCCTGTTCCTGCCCGTTCCTGCCCGGAATTTGGGAAGAGGCAGCTCCGAGGAGGCCAAACCAACGCACTGGGGAGGATGAAGGCAAAGCTGAGCCCCCCCCGGCATTGCTGCTGCCTCTGGAGGTCTTTGCAACACGCCCTGGAGAGGGGGGTGTTTATAGGGATATTTATAGGGCAGCCAACTGAATGCAAAGCTGGGGCAGAGCGTGGGCAGGGTGAGCACGGGGGGACGTGCACGGCTCCAGCCCCGGGGAAAAGCAGTTTTATGGGATGCTTTGCTCCTGGATTATGGTATGGAGCCTCTCTGCAGGCAGACACCTGTGTTTTGTGGAGGAGAAAGGACGGAGGGGGATTTTTGGGGCTTTCTGGTTGCAAAGCTGGGAGATTGGCACCAAAAAGCTCTTTTTACTGGTCCAAACCAGCGTCTCCCCATTATTCCCTGGCTTCCAACTGGGATGGGGAATGCTTGGTGGCTGTCTGGGATGCTCCAGCCCTGCTGTTACAGCTATGTGCCTAAAGAAAATAAACCCTCCTGCAAACCCCAGCGGGACTTGATAACTGGTTTGATGTCTTGCCCTATTGCAAGTAATTAGGCTGACATGGCTCTTAAAAGTTCCTGCCTGCAATTAGACATGCAGAGTAATAAATAAGGGGTAATTATCGGCTTAGGGAGATTATCAAACTTTCCTTGACGGAGTGGTGGTGCAGGATGGGTGAGAAGAAACGCCCCAGAGGGATCTGAGCTATTAATGGGATTCCCGGGGCAGCACTGAGGGGGGTCGGGTCTGGCTCAGTCGTGGCTAAAACCAGGCTGATGTTGGGCAAAAGCCAAAGTCAGGCCCAAAAGCAGGCGGGCCGAGCTCCTGCAGTTTGATGGACAGGCAGGATCCCGTCTGTCATGTCCCAGGGATCTTAATGGCAACTTTCTCAGGACAAGGTGTTATTAGGAAGAAACACTCAGCTCTGAATGGGCCCGATGACTTAAAATGCTCATTCTGCCTGTGCACAGGCATGTCGGGCTAATAGCAGGTGGAGGAGGAAGAGGAGGGGAGTGGAGGTCCCACCCAACCCAGACGAGGTGTTTGGGGCCTGCCCGAGCCCCTGCAGGGATTGTGGCAGCTCCAAATGCCTGGGACTGACCATGCTGGAAAAATCCACCCAGACCCGACAGAGCTCTGGGCTCTGCGTGTCCATCCCTCCTGCCCGGGTGTGATCCCAGGGGGATTTGGAGAAACACTCTCTGCTGAAGGCCCTGGTGCTCCCTGGGAGCCCGAAACCACCGTCTTCCCCCTCCCTGCAGATTACAGACCACGCCGGCCTGACCCTGTGGGGATTAAGGTGTGTTCCCTGTCCGGCACCAGGAACCAGCCGAGCAGGATACGGGGCTCCAATCCCAGCAGGCAGCAAGCTCAGCACCGTGCCCAGTCCAAACCAGTGAGACCAGCAGCCACGAGTGGGGAGCCCAACCTGCAGCTCCCTTCAGGAGAGATGCTGCCGTGGCCAAACTCGTCCACAGAGGATGCTCTGGGAACTCCTCACCCGCTTTTCCAGCTCTGCTTCTGCCCAGCTCCAAGTTTTGGGGATCCACGAGGTCCTTGAGAACCAACACAATTCCCAAATCTAGGAACACCAGGAGTTTGGGTTGGGCTGGTGTTTGGAAAATGGGGTTTTATCTGAAATCTCCAGCAAGGAGAGCTCTGGGAGAGCCCGGAAACCCCACTGGTGTTCCCCACCGGAGCATCCCGCCGCTCGTCCAGGCTCCCACGAACTTATTAAAGCTGTTCTCGCATCCGAGACACAGAGCTGGGGTTTTGTTGCTGCAATTAAAGTCGGAGGGAGCCCTTTAATGTGTCCTGGCTGGGAGATGTGTAAAGCAACCAGTTTGATCTCCCAGGGGAACGGCGGCTCCTCCGGCTGAGCACGCGCTGCTCGCTGCCCTGCCGGGGACAGGGCCCCCGACTCTGCTGAGCTCACTTGGACCTTCCCAGCTCCCAGGGGGTCCTACCACTCCCAAAACCGGGTTTCTCCTCATTCCAGCCCTCTCCTGCCCATTGCATCCCTAAACTGAACACATCCCCACACGAGAATGAGCCATGTGGCAATGGGACACTCTCAGTCCCTGTGTTGCCTTTTCCTCCATCTCAGCTCCATCCCCCAGACCTCCTTCCCATCTCAGTCTTGCCTGGCTTCCTCTTTGCAGGCAGGCAAATCCTCCTGGGATGACCTGGAGAGAGATGGCTATCTCCAGCAATGCCACCTTCCAGCGGAGGGGATGATTCTCATGGGATCTTTGCCCAAAAAACCCCAATCCCCTGAAACACAAGGTCCAAGCGAAACACGGAGAACTTTTAATTTCCATGGGAAGCCTCCTGTTGGTTTGTTGTTTGTTGTTTTCCCCTTCCCTGCCAAACAAGCAGTTTTCCCTGTGCCTGTTTCTGCCCGTCTTCGGTCCTCGGGACTCCTTCTGATGGGAAGGAGCGACCTGAGCAAACATTTCCTTTAGTCCAGCTTTGTTCAGGCTTTGCCCCGATACTGCAGCCGAGGCCGTGAGTCACCTGTGCAGAGGCCACACGGAAAATTTGGGTTGTTTTAAAGAAAAAGCTTCATTTCAATGATAATATTGTAATAACCCCAAACAAGCCCGTCGTACTGCTGGAGGAGTAACACATGTTTAATGCATTAGAGCCTTGGAGGGTTTAGATAGAGCCGTAAAGGAATGAAAAGGGGGAGAAGGAATCCCTAAAAGCTCAGTGCTGAGCATCCCAGGGCAGGGCTGGGTGTCACCTCTACCCCATGTCCCCTCCCTGGGACTGCCCTATCGCCTCCATCTCCTCGAGTGGGGCGGCAGCTCGTTGGGTGCTGGAGGTGCTGGAGGTGGAGACAGCAGGGTCCCCTGGCCGAGCCCCGTCATCGAGGGAAGGAGGAGTTAAATTCCCCTGTCTTTTAATCCAGTCCTGCTGGTTTCCCTGCAAAGCCAGGCAGCAGTTTCCCTCCCATGCAGCCACCGTGCCCGGCACACCATGCCCCAGCGTCACGTCATGCAGATGTCCACCAGCCACGCCACCTACGGCGTCTGCGTTCTGGGCACCGAGGTCTTCCTCGACACGCGCCGGTAAGGTCGGGCTGGGGGGTTCCCGCCATTTTCCGTAGGGCTGGTGGGGTTTGGAGGAGCCCAACGGTGTTTTGGAGCAGTGAGGGAAGCTCAGAGCTCATTCAGAGCCCACACCAGGAGCTCACCCAGCCCTTGGAGGGCCGTGTCCTGCCAGGCGTGTTCCAGGGGGATGTCCCCCGGGGAAGGATGTTGGCTCTGGCGAGGTGTCGAAGCGTTGCTGAGCCGTGACAATTTGGAGGCAAAGCCCAAGCACACCCTGGCTAAACCCGGATCTATTTCTGGCTGGGAAAACATTGGGCAAGAACAATTCAAGCTCAGCAACTTGGAGCTAAAACGGGCTAAAGGATAAAATGCGTGGCTCAGGCAGAAAAAATCCACTGGCGGGTTTTGCACGGGCAATTCCAGGAGAGGAGATTCTTCTGGAATTAAATACAGGGGTTGGTTTATTGGTCAGATACGAGGCCGTGTTTACCCTGCTGTTACAGGGTCATTATTTAATAAATCAGGTTTATAATGATACAGACAGGACAAGTCAGTCGGCATCGCAGCAATTATTGGGGTTGTGTGTTGGAGCCGGGCCAGGATGTGCCGTCGTCCCCCTCCAAGGGCTTTGCACTGAACTTTACCTGCCCTAAAAGAGTCTTATTTTCTCTCTCAACCAGACGGGAATATATAAAACCTATTGTTTGCAAGTTTTTTCCTGATTTAGGACTCAAAGCACACTCAGATCTATTTAAACATGAGGCTTGAGCCCCAAAATGGGCTGATTTGGCTCCTCTGTAGCAAATTTGAGCTTTGGACCAAAAAAGCAGATGGTGGATGCTTTTTCCACTAAAAAAATGGGATCATTTTATTCCAGGACAGCACCAGCTGGGGGGAACTTGGTGATTGATGCATCAAGTTTTGACTGTGGTTTGGGCTGTTTTGGGACAGAAAATGGAGTTTGGTGGGAATCTGGTGATGATGAGGTGGGAGGGCTGAAAAAACAGAGCAAATAGACCCAAACTGGAGAAGTCACAACATCCAACAATGCGCAGGTAGATTTACAACCAGGGCAGTAAAATCAGGGCCAACTGACCCAAATTGGAGAAGTCATGATATCCAACAATGTTCAGGTGGATTTACAACCAGGGCTGTAAAACCCGAGCAAATAGACCCAGACTGGAGGAGTCACGACATCCAACACCGTGCAGGTGGATTTGTGACATTACACGATGTTAGAGATGGGGGATGACAAGGGAGATGGTGCTTTAATTTCCCCTTACAAGCTGCTGCAGGCAGCAGGGATGCCATGCCAAGAGCAACACTGGCAATAAGTCTCCTCTGTGTCAGTTTTTTGATGTTCTCCCTTTTGTTCTCGCTGTTGAAATTTCCCACCTTGCTCCTTGTTGGAGGCTCCCGATGGCAGACAGGTTGGAGCACTCGTGCTCCAGGGATGGAGGTGCTGGGGCTGTAATGAGCAGGTAGGCAGCACTTCAAAGGCTGCCAGAGGATGTCATGCAGGTGGGGTGTGGGTTCTCCATGCTCGGATTTGGGCTCTGCTCCAAGTTGGAGCATCTCTCAGCTCAAGGGATGGTCCTGCGATAACCATCTCCCTGGATGGTTGACATTAAAAATTATCCTGGCTCTTGGTCAGGGTTTTGTCACAGGATGCTGACATTTTGGACATTTTCTTGGTGTTGTGGAGGGAGGTTGGATGCCCAAACTTCAGCGATTTGCAATCCAGGCTTAACCACGGAGGGATGTGCCGGAGCTCCAGCGGGAGCTCTGCTTGCTCAACACCACCACAGAGATAGGATGCAGAAAACTCAACCATTTCATCACCCCAAGATGGTTTATGAGCCCTTTCCACCTGGTTAAGACTGGATTTTAATTCCAGGTTCAAGCAGAGGAGAACTGGAGGGACAACTTGGTCTCTAACCCAATGCTCTGTTTCAGATCTACCCCCAAAGCTGCCACGTCATTTGACGTCCACGCCACCTCGGCGGTCACGGTCCACATCATCCACAGCCCCACCACAAAGCCCATGATTAACTCCAGGTGGCCCCTGGATCCTGACATAGAGGTCGTGGTGACAATCGATGTCACCAGCAGGACCGTCAATGACAATAAGGTCAGTTGGGTTTTTATGCACTGAAACCAGAAAAATGAGTCCAATTTCCCAGGAAGACAGGGAGGGTAATGGGCAGCCTCTAAGCAGTCGAGTCAGTACTAGGTAGTGCTGACATTGGGCTTGTTTTCATGGAAAAAAACTCAAACAGAATTGTGTAATTAGCACATACCAAGAATGAAACTGAGAAGGAGAAGGAGATTCCATTTTGTACCCTCCTGATGACACAGTGCCAGTTGCAAAAGCCGGTGCCAGGCAGCAAAGGTCCTCCAAACTTGGCTGTTTCCGTGCCCGTTTTTGTTCTGAACCAGACAGAAACAGTTCAGGTGAATTAACTGGGCTGTTTCCATGCCCATTTTTGTGCTGAACCGGGCAGAAACAGTTCAGGGAACTCTGATTAACAGAGAATGACTTGGGTGAACCCTCCAAGAACTGCTTGTTGGTCAATGCAATGAGCGAGAAGCCCTGCTCAGCTTTTTGGGACGTGGGCCATGACATGGGGGTGTCTTTGCAGGTTAAGATCTCCTACTATGGCCGGGAGGGCAACGAGCTGGCAGTGGCCTGGCTGTACCTCACGTGTGTCGGTAGGTGTTCCACAAACCCGGGCCAGACCTTGCTGATGTCAAGAGCTGGTTGGGTTCGTGGGATGGGAGTTAAGTGGGGGGCACGGGGAGGAGGTTTGGGTGTTCACCGGTGCTGACGAACAAGAGGGAAACAATTAAAATGTTATTACGCTGCCTTATATGGTGCAAAAGAGAGGGGCTGGGCCGGGTCCCCACCCAGCACACCCCGAGCATCCTCCTCTGCTTGCCAACACCAGGCACTGGGACAAGAGGATCCAAGGGAGATCTCCTCACCCACCTTTGCCCGACGTCCTCCTCCCCCTCAACGTCCGTCACAGGTGGGGGAGAGGAACGGGCACCAAAGTGTTGTCTGACCTATTTTAGAAGTTTAGGGTGAGATGAATCATTCCCTCCAGATGCCTGTTTTTCCCTGCTGACTACAAAGGGAGTCTAGACAACCAGTCTGGATGCAGAAGCCTTCCACCTGGATGGATTAATTACCTCAAATTTGAGATTTTCTAAAGTGCTCACATGACACTGTGTCCTGAAGTCATGAATGTGCCTCCCAAATTTGGACCTGAGAAGGCTGAAGGTTTCCCACGTCCCTCAGCTGATGGGCTCCACTGGAGCCGTCTGGGGCTACCACGGCCACAGGGCTTTGGCCTTGCAAATGTTCTTCTCATGGTTAGACTTAGACTTTCCTTCCCAGCTTCTCCATGTCCTCCTCTCCGCTTAATCCCGGTATTTTCCATATATGGCATATCCCTCTCAAAGGAGGTTTTTTATTAGGGTTTGGGTGAGGTTGCTGGTAAACCTCTGCTTTGTAGCAGCAGAGGCAGAAATTTGGGCCAAGAACAGGAGGGAAAGTCCTTCTCAAGTGTTGCGTCAAACCTTGGAATTATTTAGGTGTTCACTCAACCACAGGGAAAACACTTTTTTGTGCCTCCACCGTGTTTTGGCTTCCTAAAAAACACAACCGTAAATGTGAAATTGGTGAAAACATAAAATACACCATAAAATGGGGATGTCCCAGCTGGGAACCAAAATGGGAGAAGGCAGCTGGAAATCGAAGGGGGAAAACCATGAAAAAGCCATTGGGTTGGATTTTCTACCAGCCTTTTGTTGGAGATGTTGGGTCTGGAGCAGCTTTGGAGTATGAAGTTGGGGTTGGTGCTGGATGAGCCCAAAATGGCACCAAGAGCTCATTCTCCTGCCCATGGTTCCTTCTCTTCATTCCTCAGATGTGTCCCTAGACGTGGACTGGAGCCGGAGCGGCAGAGTGAAGAGCAAAGGGAAGGACAAGGTAACAAGGAGCTTTGCTGGAGGGGCAGTCCCGGCCTATCCATTTGTAGTCTCTTCCCTGAAAATCTCCAGGAAGGAGAGGGACTTGGGTGGTGTCTGAATTAGGGCAAATAACCTGGGAAATCCTCAACCTACTAATTGAGGAGGAAGAGACTTTATTTTCTTATTCCGTGTCAAAATTTTCTATGTCTCCAGTCCAACCCTGAGGATCCCGTAGGACAAAACCCTCCGCTTTTTCTTCCCTCTGCTTTCTTCTTTCTTTTCCTTTTTGGACTTGAAAGAGATCACTAAATGAGTTTAGCAAACAGCCAGAGATTTACCCCTTTGGCAACAAATCTGCATATGCCCAAGCCCTTAAGTTGGGCTAATTAAGTGCAGCCCAATCAACAGTGCAAATCGTGTATCGAAGGGGACGTGTCTCTGGAAACGGTGCAACCTTGTCCAGAGGAGGCCTGGCAGATACTTTCTGCCTGGTCAGAAGATAAGATCTCTTCCAAATAGTCTTTACTGACCCTGCTAGAAGCTGAGGTTCGGAAACTTAGTGCCTTGAAAGCATCACTGGGGTTTGGGTTGTCCTCCAAGCGGGGAGGACAGTGGGCGTTTCCCCAGTTAGTGAGGAGGGTGGGATGGGGTGGGGGGAATCTTGCTCCAATCCTCTTTTGGCTCTTCTCCTCCAGGCCAAGTGGACATGGGGTCCGGATGGACATGGTGCTGTGCTGCTGGTCAACTGTGACCGGGACAGCCCCGGCACGGGGGGGCCGGACAGCGGCCAGGCGGACATACGGACCCCCGCAGGTCAGTGTCAACCACGGTCCGAGAGCACCCAAGGGCTCTCACTGGGGCCTTTCCTACTGGCAGCACCTCCATCCCCTCTCTCCACACCCCCTCTCTCCACCTTTCCCCCCTAGACCTGAAGGACATGTCCATCATGCTGCTGAGGACCCAGGGGCCCAGCGCCACCTTTGCCGAGTACCAGGTGGTCCTGCACATCTCTGAGACGGACGCGGATAAAGTGCGGGTTTTCCACGCTATCCGTGAGTATTCCTTCCTTCCTTCTTTCCCACATATTTGAGCACGACCCCAAGGTGAGCAAACCCTAAATTTTCCATTCGTTGGGGCACCTCCATTTGTTGGAAACACTCGTTTATCCCCAAAGCTCCTCTACCGCGGTGGAAGGTGGGGCTACATGGAAAAAATCAAGGGGGAAAAAAGATCAAAAAAGGTTTTTCCCCACAAGGTTGATGAAATTTTGGCATTCCTGTGGAGAGGAAAACCCAGCACCCCTTTGGCATGGGCAGTGACCCAAACCCCAGAGCAGCCCATCCCGTTCTGCCTTTGAATGCCCTGGCAGCTCTGTCCCTGGCAGGTCCCCACCGAAAATCAGGTCAGGGCAGCCAAGGGTATCATTAGATACTTAACTTGAGCCACGCACCTTGAAAGGGTTGGACCTGAGGGTATGGAGTCCTCCTTGTCCCAGGAAGATCAAGTGTGTTCCCCAGGGAGGAGGAGGAGGCACCCCCACTCCCCTCCAACTGTGCGGGCATTGACCCCACCAGGGCCTCCTGCCAGCCCAGGGCAGGTTGGTCACCGTGTCCTGGGGGTGTCTTGGTGGTTCTGCAGGGAGTGACTCACACCCCCACTACAAGCCCGTGCTGGGGCCGGACAAGCTCTCCTACGTGCTGGACCCTGTGGGCAGTGGGGAGAACACCTTCTATGTGGAAGGGTTGGCCTTCCCCGACAGGGGCTTCTCTGGGCTCGTTTCCTTCAGTGCCAGCTTGCTGGAGGTCCCCCACAAGGTACGTGAGGTTTGCCCCATCCCCTGAGCCCCCTCAGTGGTTGGGTTTCCAAACACTGCTTCCTGCTGGTTCTGCCCCTCACAGAATTCCCCGGGCACCCCGATTTTCACGGATACGGTGGTTTTCCGCGTGGCTCCCTGGATAATGACCCCCAACACCCAACAGCCTCTGGAGGTTTTTGTCTGCAGGTAGGAGGGGTGTCACCCCACTGCTCTCCTGCCTTGGGGGACTCTTCAAGGAGGAGTTTTAGGCCCTTCTTTGTGGTGCACCAACAATGGGGTGAGCCAGGCTTTGTGGGGGTGATATTTGGGAATGGAACCCGATGTCACTGTTATTGCAATGCCAAGGAGAAAGGCTGGAGGCTGCTCTCCAGGTCTGTCCCATGCAGGACTGTTGCCCAGTGTGTTTAGGAGGGAGGAATGTGCTGCATGGTTGGGGTTGTGGGAAATTCTCGTGATCCTACTCCTCAGTCCCCCCTCTCCCTCCAGCATCAAACAAGGCTCAGATTCAAACGAGGCCTTTCTGGAAGGGATCAAAGTCCTGCTGAAGAAAGCCAACTGCAAGCTGACCATCTGCTCGGAGCAGGACACCCGGAGCGACCGCTGGATCCAGGTCATCAGTCCGTGCTTGCCCATCAATCCGTGCTTGCCCATCAATCCATGCTTGTCCAGCAATCCAGGCTTGCCCATCAATCCATGCTTATCCAGGATTGCTGAATCCATACTTGTCCATCAGTCCAGGCTTGCTCTCTGTGACTCTTCTGGTCCCTTACAGGCTCTTGGGGCACATAAGGTGTCACTCCCATTGCTGGCACCCCCTGGAGGGACTGGTTGCTTGGGAAGCACTTGAATGCCAGGGATAGACCAGGCAGCTGGGAACTAAAGCCAGGGAAATGCTGCTGGTGGTGGAAACCAGCACGGGCAGGAATGGGGTCCAGGAATCCTGGAACTGGAAGAGGGACACAGTGGGGCATTGGAAGAGGGGCCTCATTGCCAGAGGGACCCCGTGGGGCTTTGGAATAGGGTGTCTACTGCAAGAGGGACCCGACTGCAAGAGGGGACTCCATGGGGCATTGCAAAGGTGACCCCACTGCAAAAGGGACCCCTTGGGACTTGGGAAGAAGGACTTCATGGGAGATTCCATGAGGGATCCCGTTGCAGGAGGGGACCTCATGGAGCTTTGCAAGAGGGTCCCCACTGCAAGAGGGATCCCATGGGATTTTGAAGAGGGAACTCATTGCAGGAAGGATCCCAAGGGATACTACAAGGGGGACCCCATTGCAAAAGAGACCCTGTGGGACTTTCAGAGGGGGTTCCCACTGTGAGAGACACCCTGTGGGGCTCTGCCAGAGGGATCTCACTGAGAGGGATCCCATGGGAGCATTGCAAGAGGGTCCCTGTTGCAAAAGGGACCTTGAGGGGCATTGCAAGAGGGTCTCCACTGCAAGAGAGGTCCTACAGGACATTGCAAGAGGGACCCTGATGCCAGAGGGACCCCATGGGACATTCCACGAGGAACCGCATTGCGAAAGACACCCCATGAAATATTGCAAGAGGGTTCCCACTGCCCAAGGGACCCCCTGGAGCTTTGGAAGAGGGTTTCCACTGTGAGAGGGACCCCACTGCAAGAGAGAACCCCAGGGAGTACAGCAAGAGGGACCCCCACTGAAAGAGGGACCCCACTGCAAGAGAGAACCCAGGGAGTACAGCAAGAGGGACCCCCACTGAAAGAGGGACCCCTTGGGGCTGTACAAGAGGGTCTCCCCTGCAGGAAGGTCCCCCTGTGCCCCCCCAAGAGGACACGGGGTGGCGGTTGGCAGTGCCCTCCCTGTCCCTCATCCCTGCCCCTCTTCCTGCCCATCGTTGGCCCGTGTTGTTCCCGTGGGTGTCCCGTGCTGGGTGGGGTGTCACCCCTGGGACAGCCAGTTGTGGTTCAGGGCAAGAGCTGAGCTGTGCCAGGCTCACCCCATTTCCTGCTCCACCCTCCCCACATCCCTGGGGAGATGCCTATCACCCTGCCCGGAGCCTTCCTCCTCTTCCTCCTCCTCCTCTTCTTCCCACCACAGGATGAGCTGGAGTTTGGCTATGTGGAAGCGCCACACAAGACCTTCCCCGTGGTCTTTGACTCTCCCAGGAACAGAGGATTGAAGGATTTTGCCTTTAAGAAGATCCTGGTGCGTCGTTGCAGCTGAAGCCCCTTTTCTCCCCCTGAAATTTCCCCTATGGAGGGTCCTTGACACCACTTCCCTCCTCCTCTTCCCCAGGGCCCTGATTTTGGCTACGTGACCCGTGAACCCCCCGGGAGAAACATCACCAGCCTGGACTCCTTCGGCAACCTGGACGTCAGCCCCCCAGTGACGGTGCGAGGGAAGGAGTATCCCTTGGGAAGGATCCTGATCGGCAGCCCCCTGCCTTGGTGAGGAGCTGGGGGGCTCCAACCCTCCCTCTGGAACGTGGGCAAGCACCAAAAATCCTTGCCTGGGAAAAGGGACACCTCTCACAGATGAAACTTGGAATCAAAATGGGAATCGGGAGCCAGTTCCCACCAAATCCCAGACTTGACATGCCTCACAAAACCCTTCCCCCCTTCCCAGGCCTGTGATGTTTGCTCCCATCCTGGACACATCCGGGCTTGGAATTTTTTACCTGACTTATTAAAAAGAGAAGCAGGGAAGTCCAGGAAAGGGTCAAATCCCGAAGACCTGGCAGCGGCTTTGCTCGGGCAGGCGGTGCCTGGTGCCGCGGGAACAGCAGCGAACCCTCCGCAGAGGAGGGGATTTCCCGGGACAAAGAGCGACAGGAGCCATCCCGGCTGGGGCTGGGCCGGAATAACCAACGGGATGCTCCCACTGCTCCCGCGGGTCCGGCAGCAGGGAAATGGCATTTCCCAGCCTCTCTGGGCCCGTAATTATCCCTCATTAGCAGGGAGTTAATTAATGTTTTCCCAGCCTGTTGCCGTCTGTCTAAGAAAACTTCACCCCCGCACAAAGCGCTGCAGGATTTGGGAATCACAGGGATGGGAAAAAGGAAACCCAAAGGAGCCCAAGAACAGGGCATGGAATGCACCCACTGCCTATAAATACATATGGCCTAGATATATATTTGTATATATAATTGAGGGATATATTAATATATTTATGCATTATATAAGGATGTATTAACGTATTTGTATATTATATTATTTATATTTATATATTAATATATTAAATAATATATAATATATAATATATGGATGTATTTATGTATTTTATATATAACATAGGGATATAGTAATATATTTTAAATATAACACAGGGATATAGTAGTATATTTTTATATTTAACATTGGGATATATTAATATGTTTATATATAATATAATAATATAGTAATATATTTTATATATAATATAGGGATATAGTAATATCTTTTTATATATAACATAGGGATTAATATATAAAATATTTACAACAATGAGTAACATGCTTACATAATATATAACATAGTTCTAATGATATATAATTGAGGTATTAGGTAGATATATCTGTATTAATGTAGATTAATATATAATTTATATTAATTAGATACAAATTTTTATATATAAATGCATATATAATATACATGCATATACATATATATAAAATGAACGTAAATTATATCTTGATGTGTATAATATAGCTTGGACTATTTCCAGCCTCCCATAAAAATTGGATGTTTCTCACAAAAATTGGATGTTTCTTCTCCCCCTCCCCTGCTGTCCAAGGCAGGATGGGGGTGAATTTTGGGGAGGGGGGTGTGGCCACCCACCTTCCCCTGCTCCCTGTGCCCGCAGGGCCGCGGGCCGGAGGATGTCCAAAGCTGTCCGGGATTTCCTGTACGCCCAGAAGGTGCAGGCACCAGTGGAGGTTTACTCGGAGTGGCTGAGCGTGGGCCACGTGGATGAATTCCTCACCTTCGTCCCGGCCTTCGACAGGAAGGTACCGAGCCCCGGAGCCTCCCTGCTCCTCTGGTGCAGCTGCTGGGCCTCCACAGGGACATGGGGGGCAGCTGCCTTTGGGGGGTCTTCCTGCAAGAGGAGAAGTCTGTGGGTGGCATCCCGTGATGCCTGGAGCTGGATTTGGGAGTCTCTCCAAAGGATGGGGGAATAGAACAATGTGACCCCTGGGCTCTCTCCCACAGGGATTCCGGCTCCTCCTGGCCAGTCCCAATGCCTGCTACAAGCTCTTCAAGGAGAAGCAGAGGCAGGGCCACGGGGAAGCCACCCAGTTCATTGGTAAGGGGGTGAGGACATCCCTGGTGTCCCTTCCCATCGTCCCTTCTCTGTGTCCCTTCCCATGTCCCTCACTGCTCCCACCCCCGCTCAGGGCTGAAGGGCAGCGAGAGGAGGAGCATCGATGAGATCCTGGCGGACGAGTCACTCAAGAGTGACAACAGACACGTACAGGTGGGTCTGTGAGCCCTGGGCTTGGGGGGATCCGCTCTCCTCGCTCCCATGGCACAGCTGGGTCATTCCTGGGGGCAGAGATCCTGGGCAATGGCAGGAGTGGGCAAGGAGAGCAACCAGGAAGGAGCCAGGCAGTGCTGGTCACCCCGAGGCCTTTGTCCCTCTGACAGATGCCCCGGGTGACACAGAGGGACAACTGAAGGACCAAGAGGTTGCTTGGGTTGGGGATGCAGCGGGAGTTGCTCAGAGGGATGGGGTGGGATGCAACGGAGCGGGTGAGGATCCAGGCAGGATGCAATGAGACACCCTACGTGTGGGATTTGAGGAGCTGGGACGGCCCAGGGTGGCAATTCTGGGTCCCTTTTCCCCCCAGCGCTGCATCGACTGGAACCGTGACCTGCTGAAGCAGGAGCTGGGCCTGAGCGAGCAGGACATCATCGACATCCCCCAGCTCTTCATCCTCATGGGCTCCCGCGCCGACGCCCTCTTCCCAGACATGGTGAGGCCTCCAACCCCTCCTTCCCCACCCAGCCCCGACACAGCCCCACCCAGGGGTGGCCAACCCCGCTGTCTGTCCCCGCAGGTGAACATGCTGGTGCTGGGCAGGCACCTGGGCATCCCCAAGCCCTTCGGGCCCATGGTGGGCGGGCAGTGCTGCCTGGAGCAGCGCGTGCGGGAGCTGCTCGAGCCCCTGGGCCTCACCTGCACCTTCATCGACGACTATTTCTCCTACCACGTCCTGTCCGGGGACGTTCACTGTGGCACCAACGTCCGCAGGAAGCCCTTCCCCTTCAAGTGGTGGCACGTGGTGCCTTGAGGCCCCCGGGGACACACCCAGGTCCTGCCACCGGGGGTTGAAGCTGCGTTTGGTGCATCGGAAGATGCATCAAAATGAAGGGTTTTACCAATAAAGCTTCTTGAGCACTGAGGGCACAGCTCTGCCATCTCCCATCCTTCATGAGCAGCTCTACCCCATCTCCCATCCTTCCTGAACACCAAGGGTGCAGCTCTTCCCCATCTCCCATCCTTCCTTCCTCTGCTCTTGGCTTGGCAATGTCCTTTGAACTTTGTTTTTAAGCACGTAGGTCTGTGTCAGGAGCAGGGTGGGGGTTTATGGGAGACAACCCGGGACAAAGAGGCTGCTCTGGTGTGTTCAGACCCCCCCACTGCTAAAGGGTCTTACAGTCCCACATCGCAGGTTTGGAGCTGATAATCCCCTCCCAAATTCCCTGTGTTGGCCAAAAACCACCTTCTGCTGGGCACCCCCCGGCTCCCGGCGTGGAGGCAGAGCCCTCCCCTCCTCATCCAGATCATCTGACACCTTTTCAAGGAGAAAATTTCCGTCTCCTTCAGCCCGGCCGCTCTTTGTCTCCCTCCTTTCATCGCCAGCGGAGCGCGGCGTTTCCCTGTGCCTGGCACGAGGAACTGAAACCAACCCGTGCCCCGGGCACGGCTCAGCCCTGAGCAACCTCGGGAGCTATTCTGGGGCTAAACCCACTTATTTTGGCCAATTTGCTTTCCTAGGAATGTTTTAGAGGTGTAACAGCACCTCCACTTCAAACTCCTGCCACGCAGCAAACGGTGCGGGAGGATCTGGGGAGGGGACGCTCCCAAAAGGGTCACACATCCCTCTTTTTGCCCAAAAAGCCGCTTTCTGAGCCTATTTTCCCTGTGAAACGCTGCTGAGTTTGCCGAGGCCTGAGGAGGGATATTAAATTCCAGCGGCGCGTGACCCCGTGGGGAGGTGGCGGTGGAACAGCTGCGGGACAACGGGCTCTCCCACGCCGAGACGAGGATTTAATTAAAACAAAGGCGATTAAACCCGCCGGGGGTCAGGCCTCCCTCAGGTGACATCCCCACCCCTCGCGGCACCCGGAGGACGGGGCGAGCACCTTCAACCCTGGTCTAAAATAAGAATGAAAGGCAATTGTTCCAGCTAAACAAATGAAACCCTTCAGAGGGAGGAATCAGCCCCCCCCGAGCGCTGCGCTGGCACAACCCCAGCTCGGCTCCGGTGTCGCCCTGAATATTTCACGGCGTGGGTTTAAGGGTGACCGCTCGCATCAGCGTTTCGTTGTGCTAACGGGAAAGCGAACCCCACCCCTGGGCTTCTTAGAAGCCGCCGCTCCCCCCGGGGGTGTCTCGGGGTTCGCTTCCCCCCGCAGCGATTCCCTCTCCCCCGCCGGGAAGCGCGGCCGGACCCCGCGCACGCCCAACCCGGAGGTGGGATTAAACCGGGCTTTGGCTGATCCCCTCCCAGCGGCCAGGCTTTATAAATCCCCTCGTGCCAGCCTGCGCAGCACCCGAGGGTGCTCCTGGGGCCGCCGCGATGGCCCAGCAGCGCCGTGTCCAGCTGTCCGTCCAGCACCCCACCAGCACCGTGTGCGTGCTGGGCACGGAGCTCTCCCTGGATATCCGATGGTAAGCGCAGGGAACGTCCCGTCTGCTTTCGTAACCTCTTTTATCCCGCTGATCAACGAGTAAAAATAGCCCAGAGCGGGGAGGGGGCGATGCTGCTGTCGGGGGTGTTGCCAGGGGATACCGGGGAAGGGGATGCTCCGACTATCGCAGCGGGACAGAGACCCCTCCCGGGGGAATTTTGGGCTGCAAAAAGCCCCTGTGGCAGCTTTAACGCCGAGTTTCACATCCTGGCCGGGATCCACCTGAAAACTGATAAATATTTCCGTGTTTTGGAGGGATGTGGAGAGCGAAACCATCGCGGCGGGGCCGGCCGGGCGTCACCTCCTGCCACCGTTTCCTTGGCTCCAGCCCAAACAATTCGGGAGCTTTTCCAGAAGCAGGTTTTGCTTTTAGGTCCCTTTAAAACCCGGCTCAGGCCGCAGCAGCTTGGGGGGGTTTATTTTCCTGAACGCCTCCAAACGCCCTGCCGGGAGCATCCCGGCCTCTCCCGCTGGCCCCGGGGTGCGTTTTCCCCTCTTCCCGAGGGATGGATCCGTGTTTTCCTTCTCCCGGGTCAGGATTCGCGCTCCTGGGCCCATTGCCCGCGGCCTCTTGAGGAGTGAAACGAGCTCCAACCTGCCCAACCATCGAAGTTTTGCTTCGTTCTTAAGGGATGTGGCCAGTCAGGGCTCGTTGCTGGCAGAAATGCGAATATTTGGGATGCCCGCGGGAAAAATCCACCCCAAACAGCTCCAGAGTTGTGCTGGGATGGGATATCTCAGGATTTCTCACAGCTGGGCTTCACAACCCAACGCTTTGGGTAAAGGAATGAAATGAAAGGAAAGTGAAAATCAAAAACTGAAATGAAAATTTTTGCCATGAAATGTTGTAAATAAACCCCAAGAAATTAAATTAAAAAAAGATAAATGTTAAAATTTCAAAATACAAAACTTTGAAAGCAAACATTAGAAAGGAAAAAATAAGATTAAAATGAAAAAATTGTCATAATTGCATTTTTTGTGGCATTTTTCAAAATTTCTTGTCACAAATATTGCAAGATTTGGGGCATTTTGGGGGAACTATTGCCATTAATTTTATGGGATTTGTTGCCATTTCCCATTAGGGGATTGGTTGCATTTTCAGCACTTCCTGCAATGGGATATTCCTGGATTTCGTGCCTACTGAGGGTTTGCTGCCACCAAGATCCCGAGGTTTGTTCCCGTTGCCTTTTCCAGGGCTCGTTGCCTCCGGCAGGACTTTCCCTAATCGCCTTTGGTGGGATTTGGTGCAATTGCCTTTTGCAGGATTGGCTGTAATCCAGTTTTGTGGGATTTGGTGCCCATTGAGGGATTTGGTGTGACTGCAGGGTCCAGAATTCGTTGCATTTTGTGTGACTTGTTGCAGGATTTGTTCCATATTGGAGGATTTATCCCAATTTCATACCTCAGGCCTTGATAAATTTACATTTTTGAGGAGTAGTTCTTTTTTTTCAGGACTTTTTACCATTCTAAATATTGGGATTTGTTCCATATTGAAGGATTTATCACAGTTTCATATCCCAGGACTTGTTGCAGTTACATTTTCTAGGATCCGCTGCATTTTCCAGGACTTTGTACAACTCTAATTTGCGGAATTTGCTGCACTTTGAGGGATTTATCACAATTATACACCGCAGGACTCTTTGCAGTTGTGTTTCGTGAATACTCATGAAGAGTTTAGGAATATAGTCAGGTCACATGGGAAGAAAATTAGGGAGACAAAGGCACAATTTGAACTCGATCTTGCCACTTCTACCAGGGATAACAAGAAGTGCTTCCACAAATCCACCAATAGAAAAAGGAGGGGCAAGGAAAACGTCCGTGCTTGGTTGGGCAGGGACGGAACAGAGTCAGCAAAGATGAGGAAAAGGCTGTGGTGTTTTACAGCTTCCTCACACCCATCCACAAAAAGGGCTGCAAGGAGGACCTGGGATACTCCAGGGCTGTCAGCCTGAGCTCAGTGCCTGGCAAGGTCATGGAGCAGGTCATCCTGAGTGCAATCCCAGAGCACCCACAGGATGGACAAGGGATCAGACCCAGCCAGCAAGGGTTCAGGAGGGGCAGGTCCTGCCTGACCAACCTGAACTCCTTTTATGTCTGGTGGGTGAGGGGAAGGTGTGGATGTGTCTGCCTGGACTTCAGCACAGCCTTGGACACCATCTCCCTTGGGATAATCCTGGAAAAGGCGTGGACAGGGGCACTCTGGGCTGGGTCAGGAACTGGCTGAGGGCCGGGCCCGGAGAGTGATGGGGATGGAGCTGCATCCAGTTGGGATCCATCACCAGTGGTGTCCCCAGGGATCAGTGCTGGGCCCAGTCCTGTTTAACATCTTTATTGATGATCTGGGTGAGGGGATTGAGTGTATCATCAGCAAATCTGCAGGTGACACCTGGGGGACAAGAGGGCCAATGGATCCTGGCCTGGCTGAGGAAGAGTGTGTCAGCAGGAGCAGGGCAGTGATTGTTGGCCTGGACTGAGCGCTGGTGAGGCCACCCCTGGAGTGCTGTGTCCAGCTTTGGGCCCCTGAGTTGGGGAAGGCCCTGGAGGGGCTGGAGCAGGTGCAGAGAAGAGCAGCGAGGCTGGGGAAGGGAGTGGAGCACAAGTGGTGTGAGGAGAGGCTGAGGGAGCTGGGGGTGTTGAGGCTGGAGAAGAGGAGGCTCAGGGGAGACCTCCTGACTCTCTGCAAGTCCCTGACAGGAGGTTGTAGCCAGGTGGGGGTCTGGCTCTGCTCCCAGGAAGCAGCAGTAGGACAAGAGGACTGGGTCTTGAGCTGTGCCAGGGGAGGTTTAGGTTGGATATTGGGAAGGAATTCTTACAGAGAGTGCTCAGCCGTTGGAATGGGCTGGGCAGGGAGGTTTGGAGTCATCGTCCCTGGAGGTGTTGAAGGTGAGACTGGATGTGGCATCAGTGCCATGGGCTGGGAACCACGGCGGGGTTGGATCCAGGGTTGGGCTGGATGACCTTGGAGATCTTTTCCAACCCAGTTGATTTGGTGATTCTCTGATTTTCCAGGACTTGTTGTAATTCTCAATTGCAGGATTTGTTCCATGTTGAGGGATTTAGCCCAATATCCTGTGACAGGGCTTGTTGCAGTTGCATTTTTCAGGACTTGCTGCAATTCTAAATTGCAGGATTTGTTCCATGTTGAAGGACTTATCCCAGTTTCATATTCTAGGCCTTGTTGAAGTTGCATTTTCCATTGGTAATTGAATTTTTCAGGTCTTGTTTCCATTCTAAATGTCAGGATTTGTTCCATATTGAAGGATTTATCCCAATTTCTTCTCAAAGGGCTTGTGGCAGTTGCATTTCTCATGGTTATTTGGATTTTTCAGGACTTTTTGCCCCTCTGAGTTGTAGGATTTTTTTCCATATTGAAGGATTTATCCTACTTTCATATCTCAGGACTTGTTGCCATTGCATTTTTCAGAACCTGCTGCAATTCTAAACCTCAGGATTTGTTCCATATTGAAGGGTTTATCCCAATTTCATATCACAGCACTTCTGACACTCGCATTTTCCAGAATTAATTGCATTTTTGCACCACCTGTTGCTATTCCAAATGTCAGGATTTGTTCCATACCGAAGGATTGACCCCGAATTCACCCCCCAACACTTGTTGCCATTGCGTTTTCCAGGATTAGCTGCATTTTTCAGGACTCAGTGCTGCTCTAAACTTCAGGGTTTGTTCCATACTGAAGGATTTTTCCCAGTTCAACACCCCAGCACTCGTTGTACTTTCATTTTTCAGGATTCATTGCGTTTTGCACCCCTTGGGGCTGTGCTAAATGTCGGGATTTGTTCCATATTGAAAGATCTACCCCAAATTCACCCCCCAGCCCTTGTTGCACTTGCATTTTCTAGGGACAATCCACTTTTCCCTCTCCTTGCCTCACAATTCCTGGCACCCCACCGGCCTCCCTGCCCACACCAGCGTTTCCCCTCGCTGCTCATGACCAATATTCCAGGAATCCCCCCCATGGGGCTCTCACTGTGCTTCCCACCCCTCCCAGCTCTGCTCCCAAGGACGCCGTGGCCTTCCACGTGCAGGGCTCGGCGGGGGTGAAGCTCTACGTGGTCCACGACTCCCAGAGCACCAAACTGCCCTCCAGCGTGTGCCGCTGGCCCCTGGACACCCACGAGGTGCAGGTGGCCATGGACACCGTCAGCAAGGACGTGGGGGACGAGAAGGTGGGTGCTGGGGCTCCGGTGGGGCCGGGGGTGTGCCGGGACGGTGCCGAGCTCCTGCTCCTCCCTGCAGGTCAGGATCTCCTACTTCGGGGAGGACGGAGCCGTCCCCGTGGGCAGGGCGACGGTGTACCTCACCTGCGTGGGTAAGTGGGGGGACACCCCCAAACCGTGCCCTCCTGGGGGCTTCTGAGGAGGACACCTCCAAACTGTGCCCCTGGGGGGGTTTCCCCTCGGCCCCATGGTCCCTGTTCCCGCAGAGGTCTCCCTGGACACCGACATCAGCCGCAGCGGAGCCGTGAGCAGGACGCTGCTGGACAAGGTGGGAACGGGGAGGGCACACCCTCGGGATCGGGGGGAGGGGTGGGGGTGGTGGGTTGGCCCTGGGGGGACCCAGGTACCCCCCAAAGCTGCTCTGTCGCTGCCTCTGCAAGTAGACAGAGGAGAAAACATCACAAAGGGTCGGGGACCGGGATCAGGAGTGGGAGAGATCCCTCCCCCATCACCTCCTGGGAACCAGACCCAGACTGGGGACAGGAACTGGATTATTGCTGACAAAAACAGAGCAGGAGAATGAGAAGTGAAACCCACCCTAAAAACCCCTTCCCCCCCCTCCCTCCTTCCCCAGCTCTCCCTCCTCCCTCCGGGGGCGCAGGGAGACGGGAATGGGGTCGGGAATGGGGTCGGGTCGGTCCATCCCACGTTGTTGCTGCCCCTGCTCAGGGAGAGCAGTCGGAGCCCTTCCGCTGCTCCCTGGGGTCCTTCCCACGGAGACAGTTCCCCGGGGACTCCTCCAGCCTGAGTCCATCCCATGGCAACAGTTCTCCAGGAGCTGCTGCCACAGGGGTCACTTTTCCACGGGGTCAGTCCTTCAGGAACTGCTCCAACACGGGTCCCCACAGGGCCACAAGTCCCTCCAGGAAACCTCTCCCCAGGGATCCATGGATCCTGCCAGGACCCTGCTCCAGCCTGGGCTTCCCACGGGGTCACAGCCTGTCCTGGGCATCCCCCTGTTCCGTGTGGGCTCCTCCCCAGGCTGCAGCTGGATCCATGATCCATCCTGGGCTGCAGCTGGATCCATGATCCGTCCTGGACTGCAGCTGGATCCATGATCCATCCTGGGCTGCAGCTGGATCCATGATCCGTCCTGGACTGCAGCTGGATCCATGATCCATCCTGGACTGCAGCTGGATCCATGATCCATCCTGGCCTTCCCTGGGCTACAGGTGGATCCATGATCCATCCTGGACTGCAGGTGGATCCATGATCCATCCTGGCTCTCCCTGGGCTGCAGGGGCTCAGCTGCCTCTCCCTGGGCTTCCCCATGGAATCTCAGGGGAATCCCAGCTCTGGCCCCTGGAGCAGTTCCTGTCCCTGCTCCTGCCCTGGGCTCTGCAGAGCTGTTCCTCTCACACATTCCCGTTCCTCTCCTCTCTGCACTCGATTCCATCTGCACAAGAACCTTTTCCTCCTTAGCTGTGTCACTCCAGAGGGGTTCCCACCATCCCTGCTGGGCTCAGCCTTGGCCAGTGGCGGGTCCGTCCTGGAGCAGCTGGAATTGGCTCCACGGACACGGGGGAAGCTTCTGGCAGATTCTCACAACCCACCCCCTAAACCCCCTCTGCCAAACCCTGGGACACCAACCCAGCATGAGGGGATTTGGTGACATCCCCACCCTGCTTTGTGTCCCCCCAGGACAAGTGGAAGTGGGGTCCGGACGGACACGGGGCCATCCTGCTGGTCAACTGCGACCGCGACGATCCCAAGGCCGAGACTCCGGATAACCGGGACACGGAAATCCGCTCCTACGACGGTGCCCCTGCGCCCCAAAGAACCCCTCGTTCTCCTATTTTTCCTCTCAATTTTCCTTCCTAACACCCTTTCCCCCCCAGACCTGAAGGACATGTCCCAGATGGTGCTGAGGACACGAGGGCCCCGCACCATCTTTGCCACCCACCGGCTGCTCCTGCACGTGGATTTCAGCGACGCCGACAAAGTCGGAGTTTTCTACGGCGGCAGTGAGTGTCCAGCACGGGACTGGGGGCACAGACCCCCCAAATTACCAGGGTCCAGGCCAAACCCTTGCAGCAGAACAAGCCTCACTCCTGCAACACCCCCCTGTGTCCCATGGGGGCAGGTTTATTCAATGCACGGGGGGATTTTTTCCACCATGGGGTTAAATATGAGTTTTTGGAAGGTTTTGGGCAAAAAAAGGGTTGAAAGGCTGCAGGAAAGGGTGACTGTTTGGGGGGCTTGTACTCACAGACAGTGTGGAGCTGGAGGAGTACAAACACGTGCTGGGGCGCTCCAAACTCTCCTACACCGTCAAACCCAGCCGGCACCAGGAGGAAAGTGTCTTCTACGTGGAGGGACTCGCTTTCCCTGACACCAGCTTCTCTGGCCGGGTGACTTTCCACGTCACGCTGCTGGAGAGCCCTGAGAAGGTACCGCCTGTGGGGGTTGGGAGGAGCCAGAGCAGGGGGAGCAGAGCCCAGACGGTGTGTCCCCCCTCCCAGGATCTCCTGGAGACCCCCATCTTCACCGACACCGTGGTTTTCCGCGTGGCCCCGTGGATCATGACCCCCAACACTCTGGCGCCGCTGGAGGTCTTTGTCTGCAGGTGGGTGTTGTTGGGTGGGTGGCCGAGCCCTGTCTGGTGCCGGATCAGCTCCCAAATCCCGTGTTTCTTGCCAGCACGGGTGACAATGAGGGTTTTGTGGAGGCCGTGAGGGCCGTGGCTGAGAAGGCCCAGTGCCCGCTCACCGTGTGCCCGCTGGTCGAGAACCGCCAGGACCGCTGGATCCAGGTGGGTGCGGGGGTGCCCACCCCACCCTCCACACAGCAGCTCCAGGAGGGCTCTCCTCCACCTTCTCCATCCCTTCTCCAGGACGAGGTTGAGTTTGGCTACGTTCAAGCCCCTCACAAGACCTTCCCCGTTGTCTTCGACTCTCCCCGGGACAGGGAGCTGAAGGATTTCCCCATCAAGAGGATCCTGGTACCCAGCCCCTTCCTCCTCCCTTCCCAGCGAGGCAAAAAGCTTTGCAAACCCGTAAAAAGGAGGATAAATCTATTTATTTCTTGCATTTTTGGGCTGGGAAGAGCCAGCTCGGGGTGATTTGGGAGCACTGCACTTCAGGTGCTCACAGCTTCATTTCTTCAGTTGTCACAGAAGCTGCTGAGCTGGGAGGGACCCACAAGGCTCGAGTCCAATGGTTCTGATCTCCTCCCTTTTCCCCTTCCAGGGCCCTGATTTTGGCTACGTGGCCCGACAAGCTCCAGAGGGAACTACCAGCCTCGATTCCTTTGGGAATTTGGAGGTGAGCCCTCCCGTAAAGGTGCGGGGCAAGGAGTACCCCCTGGGCCGCATCCTGGTCGGGAGCAGCTTCCCCAGGTGAGACACAGGACAGAGTAAAACCCCCAAAAATGGGGTTTTATGCTGCTTTGAGGTTGGTTGTGGGCAGAGCATCCCCTTGGGCACCCCAGACTGTGAGTGCCCCCCTCGTCCCCCCAGGTACGGCGGCCGGCGGATGGCGAGAGCTGTCAAGGATTTCCTGGTTGCCCAGAAGGTGCAGGTGCCCGTGGAGCTGTACTCGGACTGGCTCGTTGTCGGCCACGTGGATGAGTTCCTCAGCTTTGTCCCCGCTCCTGATAGGAAGGTAACGGATCCCGAGGTGGGGGGAAAAGTGTGGTGGAACCTTTATAACCCCCCCAAAAAACCCCTCCCATCTCCCTCCGCAGGGATTCCGGCTGCTCCTGGCCAGTCCCAGCGCCTGCTACCAGCTCCTCAAGAAGAAGCAAGAGGAGGGATATGGAGAGGCTGTGATGTTCCAGGGTAAGGGGAGGATGGAAAATGGGGGTTGATGGGCTTGTTTTCCCTTTTTCCTGCAAAATTTTATGGGGGGAAGGATGTGCCCTGAAAGTGGGGGCAGAATTGAGTGGAGTTAATGAAAAGCTGCACGGATTTGATTTCCCGGGTGGGGCTGGAGATGCCAGTGCCCCTGAAATGGGGGAGCTTCTGGATCAGCCGGCAGTTCCATCCAAATGTTCTGAGGAGGAATTCCTACCTGGCTCTCCATGCTGCAGGGCTGGAGGAGGTGCACAAGCCGACAATAAATGAGATTCTGGCCGACGAAGGACTCCGGAAATTCAATTCTTACGCCCAGGTGAGGAAGGGGAGCAGGTGGCTCCTTTCCACCCCTCCCTCCATGTCCTTCTGTCCCTCCATCCCTCTCTCTATCCCTCCACCCATCCCTCCCTCCATTGTCCACCCACCTCTCCATCCATCTCTCCATTACTGTCTCTCCATCCACCCATCCCTCTCTCTGTCCCTCCATCTGCCCACTCATCCCTGTGTCCACCCCTCTATTCCTTTATCCATCTGCCCACCCATCCCTGTGTCCACCCCTCTATTCCCTTGTCCATCCACCCACCCCTCCCTCCTTCCATCCCTCTATTCACCTCTCCATCCCTCCATCCACCCATCCCTTCCTTCCGCTGCCTGCCCATCCCAACACCCATCTCTTTGTCCCTCCATCTCTCCATCCCTCTCTTTATCCCTTGATGTCTCCACGTTCTTATCCCTCCACCTCTCCATCCCTTTGTCCATCTTTCCCTCCCTTTGTACCTTGATTTCTCCACCCTTTTGTCCATCTCTTTGTTCCTCCATCTCCCCCTCCCTTGTCTCTCCGTCTCCTCATTCCTCTATCTCTCCATGTCCTCATCCCTCCATCTCTCCATCCTTTTGTCCATCTTTGTCCCTCCATCCCTGTTTCCCTCCCTTTGTCCTTCCATCTCCCCATCCCTTTGTCTCTCCTTCCCTCCATCCCTCCATCCACCCACCCATTCCTCCCTCCTTCCACCCCACTCTCCATCCGCTCCTCCCTCCGTCCCTCCAGCGCTGCATCAGCTGGAACAGGGATGTGCTGAAGCGGGAGCTGGGCCTGGCCGAGCCGGACATCGTGGACATCCCGCAGCTCTTCCGCCAGAACGAGCTCTCCAGTGACGCCGAAGCCTTTTTCCCGGACATGGTAACCACGACCCACCCCGGCCCTGCCCTGCCCCCCCAGGGGGTTTGGGGTGGCCAACCCCGCTGTCTGTCCCCGCAGGTGAACATGCTGGTGCTGGGCAGGCACCTGGGCATCCCCAAGCCCTTCGGGCCCATGGTGGGCGGGCAGTGCTGCCTGGAGCAGCGCGTGCGGGAGCTGCTCGAGCCCCTGGGCCTCACCTGCACCTTCATCGACGACTATTTCTCCTACCACGTCCGGCTCGGGGAGGTCCATTGTGGCACCAACGTCCGCAGGAAGCCCTTCGCCTTCAAGTGGTGGAACATGAAGCTCTGAAGTGGCTTCAGCACCAACTCTCCTCCTCCTCCTCAAATCCCACCCTCACCCCTCCAAGTGCCTTCAGTGTTCAAATTAAAACCAGGCCGTGGCTCCTTCAGAGTTTGCTGGGGGACATTTTCTGGGGGTCGTGGCTCTCCCAGCACAGGAATTAATGTTCAACTGGTTAAACTGGGAGGGGAAATAGTGGTGAGTGGGGTTGCAGAGTCCCTGTCCTGCTGTGAGTGACAAAATGCACATGGGCACATCCCACAGGCACAGATCACCATGGAATCATGGAACAGTTTGGGACCTTAATGCTCATCCCATCCCACCCCCTGCCATGGGCAGGGACACCTTCCACTAGCCCAGGTTGCTCCAAGCCCTGTCCAGCCTGGCCTTGGACACTTCCAGAGATGGGGCAGCCACAGCTTCTCTGGGCACCCTGTGCCAGGGTCTGCTCACCCTCCCAGGGAAGGATTCCTTCCCAATATCCCATCTATCCCCGTCCTCTGGCAGTGAGAAGCCATTCCCTTGTCCTGTCCCTCTATCTCTTGTCCAAAGTCGCTCTCCAGCTCTCCTGGAGCCCCTTTAGGCTCTGGAAGGGGCTCTCAGGTCTCCCTGGACCCTTCTCTTCTCCAGGCTGAACAATCCCAGCTCTCCCAGCCTTTCCCCATCTCAGAGCTGCTCCATCCCTCTGATCCTCTTGGTGCCTCCTCTGGATTCTCTCCAGCAGCTCCATGTCCTCCCTGTGCTGTTCCCAGGGCTGGAGCAGCTCTGCAGGGGGGTCCAGAGGGGCAGAATTCCCCCCTGCCCTCTGCCCACGCTGGGGATCAGCCCCGGTCATGGGGAGGTTTCTGGGATGGGATGTGTCCAGCCCAGGAGCAGAGCCCGACCCCCCCACACTCCCTCCTCCTGTCAGGGAGTTGCAGAGCCAGAAGGTCCCCCCTGAGCCTCCTTTTCTCCAGGCTGAGCCCCCCCAGCTCCCTCAGCCCCTTCTGCTGCTCCAGCCCCTTCCCAGCTCCGTTCCCTTCCCTGCACACGCTCCAGCCCCTCTGGGTCCTCCTTGTCCGGAGGGTCCCAGCGGTGCCCCCGGGGCTGGAGGTGCCCCGGCCGTGCCCAGCACAGGGACGGGCCCTGCCCTGTTCCTGTGCCCCCCTGGGCCGGGCCCAGCCCGGGGCCATCGGCCTCTCGCCCCCCCGGGCACACCCGGGTCGTGTCCGGCCGCTGCCACCGGCACCCCCAGGGCTTTCCCGGCTTTCCAGCCTGGAGCGTTCCAGGGGTTTGTCCTGACCCAGGTTCAGGACCCGGCACTTGGCCCTGTTGACGCTCCCCCTTGTCCCTGAATCCAGCCTGTCCCGACTCCTCTGCAGAGCTCCTGCCCTCCGGCACATCCACATTCCCTGGACTGGGATTGGCCGGGAACTTCCCGAGGGTGCGGGGAGGGGACACACGGACACCGGGGATGCTCGGGGATGCTCAGGGATGCTCAGGGATGGGGATGCTCCAGGATGGCCAGGGATGCTCAGCGGGACTCGGAGCCGTTCCCACGAGCCTCCGGATGCACCATCCAACCAACTCCTCACCCACTCACGGAATCCATCCCTGCCCGAGGCCGAGCGGGATGTTGGGGGTTAGAGAATTCCAGAGGTGGATCCACAGCTCTTCCCTTGTCCACGATGGAGTCACCCCCCACACACAAGGAACTCCCGCACATTCCAGAGTTCCCACCCTGCGGAATGTCAAAGGGACAAATTGGAGCAGGAATATTTGGGATGGAGGCTGGAGCCACCTGATGGAAGGGATTGGGGTTGTCAGGGGGAGGAAAAAGCAGCAACTGCTCGTGGGGCCTTTGGGGGAAAGGAAGGAAATGGGAAAATCCCAAATGGAATGGTAAATTTCAAGTTTTAAGTAAAAAGTGACTATTTAAAAAAATATATATATTAAAAGTAAATTTTTAAAAATTAAAACATAGGAAGTAAAAATGAAAAAAAATTGAAAGCAAATGGTAAAAATAAAAAAATTAAAAATGTTAAAAAAGAAAAAATATGAAAATAAAGATGAAAATTCAAAAATTGAAATTAAAAATTGAGATAAAAAATAAAGTTTAAAAATAGAAAAGTCAAAAGTAGAATGTAAAAAAGGAGTAAATTAAAAATTACAGGAATTAAAAAAATAAGATGAAATAGAAACATTACGACGAAAAATAGAAAATAAAAAATAAGTTAAAAGAATTAAAAAAGAGAAATTAGAGCTAAAATGAAAAAACTAGGCTAAATTAAAACATAAAAGCAAAAATAGAAATGAAAAATATAAAAGTAGCAATAAAATTAGAACTAACAATGAAAACATCAAGGTAAAGTAAAATAAAAATGGAATTTAAAATAAAATTTTAAAGTAAGACAGAAAAATGTCAGTAATTTAAAAAATGTAAAATTAAAAACGAGGATAAAAATAGATACAATTAGAACTTAAAAATTTAAAAATTGTAATTAGTTTTTTTGAAATTAAAATTTCAAAATTTAAAATTCTTAAAATTAAAGAATTAGGACTTAAAAAATTAAAAATAGAAATTAAAAAATTAAACTTTCAAAATGAACAATTTGAAATTTCAGAATTTAAACACAAGGGCTTAAAAAAATTATTAAATCAATATTTCAAAATTATAAAATGAAGATTTTAAAAATGAAAAAAATTGAGATTTGGAACGTAAAATTTGAGAAGGGAAGAGATGAACGAGGAGCCCGAGGGGGGTGGAGGGGCCGGCGCGGGGGGGACACGAGACAGCCTTGATTGAAACATTTACTCCAAGAAATATAAAACCCCCAAGCCCATCCCGGCCCCCCCGGCCTCTCTGCTCAGGATCTTCCCGGATCCTTCTGCTTCCAGAGCATTCCAGGGGTTGGAAAGCCTCGGCTGGCAGCCATGACCCCAAATGAGGCTTTTGCGGGGGGTAAAAGTGGGGGTTTGGTGATTCCCCCCCCCCCATTTTATCAGGGCTGTGGCATCCGCTGGTGCCACAACCCCCCAGATCCTAAATATTGCTAAAAAAGCGGAATATTGGCCTTTCCTGCCCAGCTGCTCCCCCTGGCCTGGATATTTCCTTTCTAACACCCCCCAAAACACCCCAAAACAACCACCCGACCCCCAGAAATGACCAAAAAACCCCTTTGTTTTACTGCAAACTCCCTGCCTGGGTGTGAGCATGGCCCGGAGCATCCAGCAGGAGAGTGGGAAGGACCTAAAAACTGTGGAATAATTCCAAAGAAAGTCTAAACATTTGCAAAATTGAAATAAAATGAGACTGGAAATGACCGAAGGCAGAGCTGGGCTCTGCTCCAAAAGGCACCTCGTTTCTCCAGCACAGTGCACGGCAGGGGAGGAGGGAATTCCGGCTGGTCCCAGGCAAAATCAGGAGCAAGAAGTAAAGGAAATTCAGAATTCCAAGGAAAAAAATCCTTCAGGACTCCCCTCTTCATCCCTGAGATCTCCCTGTGACAGAGGGGAGGGGAGCCCCGGAATGATGCTGGGAATGGGGTTGGTCCTGGCGGGGGTGGGGGGGTGATATCCAAGTCCTGGATCCCTCCGGATGCTGGAGGGTTGTGTGTGGGATATCCCAAAAATTATAGCACCTAAAGTAGGGAAAACAGGTAAAAAAACGGGAATCCTGGGGCCAAAGGAGGCGTTGGCAGCTGCTCTTTAGGGATCCTGAAGCCCTGAAGGGATCCCGAGCCGGGATCAGATCCCCAGTTTGATCCTGAGCCCACAGCCGGGGATAGTTGTGGCCGGGAAAATGGGAAACAATAAAAAAAAGGATGCAGAAAAATACAAATAAAATACAAATAATTAAAAACAAGACCCTACAAAACCAAGCCTGGATGTGCCAAAAGATCCTGCTACGGTCGGGAACTCAAAAAGCTGGGGGGGCAGTGGAAATAACCCCCCCCAAGGTTTTGGGAATGGGAACAGGGAGTGAGAACGGCGGCGGGGTTAGAAAAGCGGGACTGGGGGGTCTGGGGGGCCCTCAGATGGTGCGGGGGTTGTACTCGGGGAGCTTCCGCAGCTTCTCCTTCTCCGCATCCGATTCATCCCGGGCGATGACCAGGGAGTGGGCATAGCCCATGGCCACCTGGAAAAGGGACAGGGACACTGAGACACAGCCCAGGGACACCTGGGGAGGGACAGAGGACACTGAGGAAGGGGACCATGGACACCTGGAGGGCCCCATACCCCCCTTCCACAACCCCATGGGTGTGATGAGCTGGGCACGGCCTCAGCAACTGTGATCATTTAAAGGTTTATTTAAAGGGGAGGGGTCTCCATGCACCTCCTGTTCAGCACCCCATGGGTGTGATGAGCTGTGCATGGCCTCAGATACCACATTTTTTACAATATTTATTTCAAGAGAGGCCTCCTCGTGTCCTCCCTTCAGACCCCCACAGGTGTGCTGATCTGTGCACGGCCTCAGCCACCGGATCTATTGAAGAGAGGGGTCCATGCACCTTCTGCTCAGCCTCCCATGGGTGTGATGAGCTGTGCACAGCCTCAGCTGCCCCATTCATATAAAGGGAGGGCCCCTTGTGTCCTCTGGCAGCCCATGGGTGTACTGAGCTGTGCACGGCCTCAGCCCCACATTTATTTCAGGAGAGGGCTCTTTGTGCCCTCCCTCCAACAGCCCCTGGGTGTGATGAGCTGTACATGGCCTCAGCTGCCCCATCCATTGGAGGGGGTCCCTGTGCCCTCCCCCAGCCCCCTGTGGGGTTCCCCCTCACCTGCTCCGTGTAGATCCCATCCAGGGTCTTCACCTCCTGCGCAGCTGTCGAGGATTTGGGCTTGTGGTCTCCGTACCCCTGCCAAGAGCATCCCATGGAAAGGGGGCAGAGTCAATGTGGGCACTGGAAGTAGCCGGTCCCTCCCACTGCCTGGGGGGGTTTTGGGGTATCCCTGGGCCGGGGGTCCCCAGGAAACCCTCCTTACCAACTCCCCGAAGGTGGGGGAGGGCCCCCAGCTGATGGTGCTCTCGTCAGCTGCCACGATGATGCTGCTCTTCCTGCAGAGGGGGTGAGGCAGGGTGAGCCCCTGAGCCCTCCCACCACCCCAAAACCCACAGAACGGGAACGT